CACACACACACACACACACACACACACACACACACACACACATGGGGTGCTTCCTGGGCCAGACAGCTTGCCAAAGGGAGCTGGCCTTGGGTACTGAACTTGGATTTTCATCCACAGCATGGTTGCCTGTGGCTTTATTACAAAAGCCAAGTACCTGTCTCAAAACCTGGATTGTGTTTCCCAACCACCTGAGTATCACGAGCATGCTGGTCAAACAGCCATGTTGGTCCAGTCGGTACTTGATGCTCCTTCCTCTAGAATGTTCTGCACCTTGAAAGAGGGTCTGAGGAGCTATGGATGGTGTGTACTACCAAGTCTGGCTGGCTACCACTCATCCCCATTAGTGATCCCGGAAGAGCAGGATTACCAGCCAGGACCGGGACTGCAGGGAAAGTAAACCAGAACCCTGTCCTTGGCTTTGTCCATAAATCCATTTGCCTCTAGGTAGATTTGCTTTTCTGTCCCCCTTCTGTAAAATGGGAATAACTAAGCCTATCTCCACTGAACTAGGCATCAGCAAAGAGTTTTCTGATCCCAATGGAGGGACCACATGATCGTTTCATGTTTTCTCATTAATGTGTCTTCATTTCCCTGATTTAATGCAGGGTTTACATGGACCACCCGGGGACAAAGGAAACCGGGTGAGTCTGAGCCCTCGTACCCTGACTCTTGTTACTAATGTCATCACGATGATGTGGAATGATCAACTAGGAGACTCCTGACCTAACATGACAAATACCGTATTTCCTGATAAATCATCCTAAATTGAAAGGCTTTCTAGTAAGGGACTCAATGGCCTGTGTGCAGGAAACTTAGGGCCTGCTCCTGCAATTACAGTGTGTTATTTCTCCATGTTTCCAGAAAAGGCTGATGGTAACCATCAACTTATCATGACCATCCAGTAACAGAAGCCTCACATCTGCCCTCTTTATTTTGCCCTGATAACAGGGCCCTAAGTGATATATTTAGACCCTTCGTCACTTTATCCTTTCTCTCCAAACTTAGTTTTGCCTGGCATTCTAGGCCACTGGTGAGTAAGAAAATAAATTCCAGCTCCAAGAATAAGCAGACAAACCTTTAGAAAAAAATATCACAGCTGCTATTTCTCTTGAAAAGGCCCAACAGAGCAACAGGACAAACTGCACCTTCCAGGTCCTCCCTCTCCCTTTGGCTCTTGCCATCATCAGCAGGACACACTGAATGTTCCCAGCACCCACAGCCATGTGATAGCATGACCTTGGGTATTTGAGGCCAGCAGCTATTAACAATTTAACTACATCTGACCAAGAGATAACCTTTGGGTCTTCTCTGTAATAGAAGAGCTCCATCACTTCCTCCAGTGCCTATCTGTGGGCAATGTATGCCCTCCTACAGGACCAACCGTGTCTTCTAATGGGTTCCAAAATCCAAGGACCTCAGGTGGTAAGGAATATGAGGAACAGATGGAGAACCACCATCCAGAAAGATGATGACATGTGCTAAGTTACAGATTCCAGAACCTAGGTCTTATGGCTGATCTTTGAGCATTCAAGGATAAAACACGCTAGAATCTGTGTTTCTATCTGGTCCCAATTAATTCCATTCTCTTGATTTAAGAAGTGTTCATTAGGCATTCCTAAACCCCTATGTACTCTTCACTGGAAGCCAAACCAAAGCCACTCTTTATCCCCTAAATTCCAGTAACAAGTTTGAGCAGGCAGAGCTACCCCTACTATACTATTCATGGCAAGACCATGTGTAGAAAGCACTAGAACAAACTGACCTACTTCCAGATCTGCAGTTGGTGAGGCCTCTACCAAAGCTGATCATTCCATCTCTTCATTGGCATACTAACCTTCTTTCTAACTCATTTCTAATGTGTCTTGGTTTGCTTTATTTTCAATCCTATTTCTTAAGACTCTTTTCCATTGGCTGGAGGCACTGAGTCCCTTGAAATGAAGGTGATGGTTTTGCTCTAGAGGTAGAATCAGGGAAAGTGAGGAGCCCTTGTCACAGATATAGGGAGAGGAGGAGGAGCTGGACCAGGCTGATGTCTCTCATAGCACCTGCTGAGTGATCCCCAGAGGGCTCAGGAATCGGGGGAAAATCTTCTCTACTTCCTCTTCCTAGTTTTTGACACACACACACATACCCCATCCTATACATAATTTAGAATATGTCCCTTTGTCAAAGTCAAGTTCAGAGGCTGGGAATGTAGCTCAGTTTGTAGAGTGCTTGCTTAGCATGCATGAAGCCCTGGATTCCACTCCCAGCACTTTGTAAAGCTGGGCATGGTGGTGCATGCTTATAATCCCAGCACTTTGGAGGTGGAGGCAGGAGGATCAGAAGTTCAAGGTTACCCTTGGCTACATATCAAGTTTGAGGCCAACCTGAGCTATATGACACCTTGCTTCCAAAATCCAAGAAAAAGCAAGTCAAGCACAGATGTAGAACGTATCTGCACATACCATAAAGGGCCAGCTGACTGGTCCCAAAGAGCGGGTTTCGAACCAAGGGACAGTTAATTCTCTCCTCATTCAAGCCTCTGAGCCACCAGCCCTAATGGCATAGGCAGACGTAGGGTACTGACAGTTGATCCAGGTGACATGCCAGAAGCCAAGATCACATTCTGGTTCAAAGTATCATTGCTACCTGGGAAGGTGACTCTAGAGCGCCCCAAAGCCCCCTATATCCACTCACCTGAGTTTTAGAAAGTGGGCCCCATAGGGAAGCCCTCAAAATTTGCCCTCATCAAACTTTGCCCTCATCGTGTCCTAGATGCTAACCAACACACAACCTTAAAATTATGCCATCAGGTAGGCAAATGACTCAGCAGGTATAGGTGTGTGTCACCAGCCTGACTACATACAACCTGAGTTTGATCCCCGGAGCCCACACAGTAGAAGGAGAGAAGTGACTCCAACAAGTTGTCCTCTGACTTCCATGGGCATGCTGAGGCACACACATGAATGTATAGAATTATGCTATTGGCATGTCATACCTAGAAATGGCACTGGAGTTTCTTTCCTGTTCATGGAAGGAGGAAGGTCCAGAACCCAAAACAGGGAACTTGCTAAAGACATACAAGACGATGGAAGGGATGTCCCGCTCTTGTCAAAAGGATCCCTGCCCTCCCCACCCTCCACCACAACCACCTTTGTCCCTGAGTGGCCCAGTGAATTTGACCCCAGGAGCCCAGGAGCCTTAGGATAAAAACACCAGTCAAAACCAGTCATAGTGGCTCATGCCTATAATCCCAGCACTTGGGAGTGGAGGCAGGAGGAGCAGGAATTCAGAGTTATCCTGGACTATTTAGCAACTTTAGCCTTTGTTATATGAGACTCTGTCCTTTAAAAAGTCAAAGAGTAAGGGTAACATGACATGATTCTGGCAGTGTGATCATCAGGGAATTGATTGATTGGTTGTTACCATGGAGCTGCCTGTAAGCCAGCTGGCCAACGGAAAAGGTCTAAGCATGCCATGAGACTGCTTCCACTCTTTGAGATGCCTGCCTGGGGATGGGGAGGGGGTGGGGGTGGCTCTAGGTATATATGGGAATGTGTGTAGGGATGTGTATATGTGTCTTGCTTCCTGAGTCCTCTGTCCCCTCCTCTTCCCTACTCTCTGGCCTAGACCTGCCTCTTTTTTCCATCTTTCTCCTCCCAAAATATTCACTCCACTATAGCCCTATGTCTGTCATTCACCCACTATATCCTTCATCTCCCCATCTTCCTATACATTTCCTCAGATCAGTTTATCCACATTTATTAATAATGTTTATAGACCCCTGTGGATCACAGTCTCTGCCTCTTAGCAGCTGGAGCTCCCTGCAGAGGTGGGAGGAGGCTTGTGTGCCCCACTCTGGGGTGGGCAGTGGGAACACATAGGGAAAGCTATTGCTCCAGTATTTTCCAAGGCATCTGATGTGGAGTGATGCCCAGGCCCTCAGAACACAATGCCCTGTGGTATGAGTATTCTGCCTTCTGTGACCTGCAGGCAAATTTTCCAAGACCTGGTACCCCTCAATCCTTCAGCAACTCTACCCATCTTAATTAGGAAACTGTGCTCCCACAACTCAGAGAATGAGGGCTGCCCTCCTGAAAATGCTTACCTGGGTCTTCCCCATCCACACAGCTGGTGGTGAATCCTCCTTCCAGATGTTCCCATTGGTGGACTGTCTTTAGCCCAAAAGGATTTCACCAAATATGCACACATTTCCTCTTAAATATACATCATTTTCTAAGTAAAGTTTTGTGTTTTCAAAGTCATTTAGAATAATGTGTCAGCAATAGCAAACAGCCTCTGGAATCAAGAAATTTGGGTCATTTTCAAAGATCTGGGAGAAGCATCAGAACTACTGTTAACTCCCAGAATGTAACAAACTTAGAGCTGGCAGTCTTCCGAAACCTCTGACCTGAGACTAACCTCCGGCAGGAGTGTTTGCTCTCACACTAGCTAGCAGGAATGGTTATCACCATTGTTATCCAGAAACTGAGCAATACAGTAGGCCACTAGTAAGCATTTGTTATGCACAGGGCAGCGCAATAATTTTTGAATCAGATCCAATGTACCCATTTCACAGATAAAGAAACTGAAGCTCAGAGAGCTCCAAGTTGATAACTGGCAGAACTTGCTCTGATGTGGTCTTTTGTTCTGACTGTCATGCTGCCTGTCTCCAAGGTCTTGCCACCATGGAGCTACACTGTAGAAGTCACCAAGTATTAAGAGAACCGGCTTTCCACAGAGGAGAGTGTCTGGGAACACCCCCTAGGGATGCACCTGGTGCCTTTTAAAGGAAGTAAGACTTATAAAGAAACAATTCAAACTCATTCCAAAGATGATTCTTCTTTAAGAAGAACGGCCCATTGCCCTTCTTTAAATGAACCCTAACACATAAAAAGTAGGTCTTGATTTAGAAGCATGGTGCTTGCTGACATTTTTCAGAAACAAACTCCTTGAGCATAAAGTGTGCCGTGGCGCATATGTAGCGGTCAGAGGAGTAGAGGGTAAGTTCTCTTCTTCCACCATGTGGGGATTGAAATCAGATCTTCAGGCTTCGTGGCAAATGCCTTTACCTGATGGCCCATCTCACCAACCCAGCTGCATAATTTTAATATTAATGATGTCAGATAAGAATAAACCAGACAGGTAGAGAGATGGCTCAGCAGTTAAGAGCACAAGCTGTTCTTGCAGAGGACCTGGGTTCAAGCCCACATGGCTAACAGCCATCTGTAACTTCAGGTCCAGGGGAATTCGACACCCTCCTCTGACCTCTGCAGGCAGTGCACAACACAGGTGCACTTACATACACACAGGCAATATATTCATACACATAAAATAAAAATAAATAAAAGATTTTTTTAAAAAGAGACAAACATCTAATGGGAGGACCCAAGTGAGAACACACACAAACATACATGCACAGGTGCACACACATACACATGTGTATGGGTTCACACATGTGGACCCTACCCACTTCTGCACACATATGTGTACAGGCATGCACAGCCAGATGCTCATACATATATATGCCCACACCCAGGGCTCTAAACAAAGTTACCTTGTCTCCTCAGAGAATAGCAAAGGGGTCAGAATAAATCACAACAAGAGGAGGCTTAAGGACATGCACTAATCTTGCCAAGGCCCCATTGGGTTCCCAGCACCCATGTCATGCAGCTCATAATGGCCTGTAACTGCAGTCAGGGAGATCTGACATCTCTAGCCTCTGTAGGCACCTGCATTCTAATGCGCACACACAAACACACACACACACACACACACACACAATTAAAAATGAAATAAATCTTGGGGATAGAGAGATGGCTCAGTGGTTAAGAGCACTGGCTGCTCTTGCAAAGGACTCAAATTTGGTTCCCAGCACCCACATAGTGGCTAACAACTATCTGTAATTCCAGTTCTGGAGGGTGTGGGGGGGCAATGGGGATACGACATTCTCTTCTGGACTTCACGGGCATTGCATCTACATGGTACACTTATATGTGCGCAGGCAAAATACTCATACACATAAAATAAAAATAAATAAAAATTTGAAAAATAAATAAATCTCAATTGGGACAAAGCCCAAAGCTCTTCAAAATTAGACCCTCAAAGAGATAGGAGGTTCCTCCTTCATCCCACATCAGCAAAACTTGGGTACCAGTGTCCTCAGTAGGCATGCCCATCCCCATTGGCTCAGAGCTGCCTCCTCGTTTTCCTCTCCCTACACCCTCAACCTTGGCCAAATTCTTAGGTGCTTAGAGCGGGGAGGTGGGTGTGCCCCATGATCCTACTGGGGATACCATCCTAATTAAGACAATCTGCTTTTCCTTCTCTCGTTTTATGTTTCAGTTTCTGTCTCTAACCTCAACATGTGAATGATCCTAAAATTTTGATGTTGTGTTTTTTTCCCCACCTCAACTAAACCATTGTTTACAGGGAGAGAGGGGGAAGAAAGGCTCTAGAGGGCCTAAAGGGGATAAGGGGGACCAAGGAGCACCTGGCCTAGACGCCCCCTGTCCATTGGTATGTTTTCGTCTCTCACTTGCATTGTTCTGTTTTTCAATGAGGTTTGCAAGTTAGAAACAAAGAAGGCAAATGCACTAAAAGCAAACGATCCATCGGTGTCCCCCCACCCAGCTTCTCAGTGCCTTGGCAGCCCTGCCTGCAGAGGGTGGGGCCTTAGCCACAGCTGCAAGTCATTCTGGATAAATCCCTTTGCTTTGAGTCCTTCTTTGAAGATGCAGAACAATTGAGGGGTGGAAGAAAAGAAACCGCAGGCGCAGATCTGGGGAGGCGGTCTGCACTCTGAGCCCCAGCATGCTTTGCAAGCCCATGTAGTACTTGAAGCACATGAATTTGCCTTCTTTGTTTCGTGGTCACTTCTGTGGCCAGCAGTTCTAGCTGTCTGAGTCCTCACTCGGTCAGGATGCAGGAACCCAGTGTTAGTAGTGTCTTCTGAATGTCACTGATGGTCAGCATTGGGCAGAACAAAGCCAGACAAGGGGTTCTTCATACACAGCTCCCCAAAGTTCACAAGTCAACTACTGACCCTGTGTAGAGACAGACGCCCACAGGAATCCTCCCCAACAAGCCAGCAATTAATGATTGTAGCACATTAGCTAGGCTTTCTAAGTGCCCTCTCAATGCACTGGAAAGTTCTGAAAGCTTGATACTATCAAGTTGGACGCTGTCTGTGTTTGCTCCAGAGGAGCTCGGCGCAGAAGAGGCTGGGTGTACGTGTTCCACCGCTACATTCTCCTGAGCATAAAGACTGAATTGAGGAGCTGGATGGTCGGCTGGGACTCAGCCTTATGTGTAGATACTTTAAGGGTCTGCATCCTGGCCAATATAGGACTGGACCTCTCCACTCCACACTTGGAGCTGGCTGACTTTAACCTCAATAATCATCGTGGTTGGTTTTATGAACAGGGCCACCGAGGTTTTAAAGGAGAGAAAGGGGAGCCGGGGTTACCAGGGCTGGACGGACTGGATGCCCCATGCCCACTGGTATGGCATTGACTTCCCTTGCCTGCATGGCCAATTGAGGCTACCCCACCTGTGTGGTGTGTACCCGTGTGCCTCCTGCTCTAGCGCCCCATCCTCTAGTTACTGCTTCTTCTGTCAATACCAAGAGTCACCTTGCCTAGGACTCTGGCAGCTCCCAACCATGTCACCCACTTGCATGCAAAGTAACCTGATGTTTTCTTGGCTTCCCCCACTTTGACATCAGCCAGCCCGGCTGCATCTGATCCTCACTGCCCAACTGCTTCTAGACTATTCTGCCAGCCAAGATCCAACTAGGGAAGCACATTCTCTGGGCAAGCCCTTAGAACTGACTGTTTTGCCTTCACACTCTGAATATAGCAGCTGAGCACCTAGCAAAACACTGGAAGGAGATGCCAGGGTCACCCCACTGCCCCACCCCCACCTCACAGTTTGGCCAGGGATGGATGGAGGGGCTTGCTTGTAGATGGATATAGTCTAGAAGTGGGATGGAGGAGAGGGCCACCCTGCCTGTTCTTCCAGACTGGGTCCTGGGTCATGGTCCAGGTGACATCATCAGACCTAGGTTAGGGTCCAGGATCAGAGTTAGACACTAAAGTCCTAGAAGACCGTCCTTTGATGTTCCTTTCCTTCACGTTTAGGTGGCTCACTATGGGAGAGGTAGAAAGGTCTAGAACATAGTGAGGAGAAAACAGGAGGTGGCCAAGGTCCCCTTTTCCAGGCATGTCTGGAGCTGAAAGCCAGCAGCTCCCCCAACCTAGTCTTGTTCGAGGTAGGGTCTTCCTAGGTGTCTGTGTGACCCTCTTAACTGTAACAGAAACAGAAAGAAGCCACGCTTGATTCCAAGGGCGCTGGCTCAAGGTGTTCTCTGCTTGTCCTCCATTTCCCTGGGAAATTTAAAGGCTGTTCTCACCACAGAAGTCCAGGCCAGAACTCTGGGCCACTCAGGAATTCTCTTTGAATAGAAAACAGATTAGAAAGTATGGGTGACCATACTGCCCCTTGGAGGGCACCTGGGATGTTTTAGGGCACACACATGCATCAAAAGACCAGCACTGGCTGGCATACAGGGTGGAAGTCTGGCCCCGCCTATTGACACCCCATCTCCCACTCCTCCAGCCCCCCAACCTCCTCCCCGACCCCTGCCCAGCATGTGGCATATGCAGGTGCCTTTCCCAACCTCTTCTAAAGCACTTCTGTTAACCACTGGGTCTTTCCTCGCCACAGCCCCACCCACCATCTGAGCACCTTAGTTCTCCATGTTGAACCGCCTTGCTCTCCTCACCGTGAAAGCTGCTTTTTTTGCTCTCTCCAAGCCTGTCCACTGCCACGGTCCATGCCCCAATGGGAATGCCACTGTGGGCCTCCAAGGCCCCTCTCAGAGTCCATGTGCAGTGTGGTGACCCGGTGTGGCATGATGGGCTGGGAAGAGAACAGAGAATCACCATCAAACTGTAATGCACGGCCCCCTGCCCTCCTGTACCCAGCCCAGAGGGGAAATGAAGGTCAATATGATTTGATCCTTCATTCAAAGTGATTTTGTTTTCAATACTGATGAGTCATCTGTCCTGGACTTGCCAGCGCAGGGGTGGGGTGCAGGAGTTATTGATCATGATTTTAATATAATGCAAAGTTTCTTGGGGCAGGGGCAGCGCCTACTGAATGCCAGGTAATTGAGAGGTTCTGGTTCCTGGGTAGGTAGATGGAATTGCTCTCCTGCACCGATGATCCTTTTAACTACTGTCAGGACTGAGCACTTGGCTCTTCACCAGAAGTACTGCCTCTCGCTCTGTCTCCAGCCTAGAAACTGCAGCTCTAAGGTCTGGGCTGCCTTTGTGAGAGACCTAGACTGAGACCCGAGCTCTGCCCTTGGTTCTGTCTGGCCCTCCCTACCTGATCTCTGGAAGCTTTCTAGATTGCTGGTGGGTATGCCAGAGAGGCCAGGATATTAGGCCCAAGAAGCCTTTGAAAATTCCCTCACATGGGCACAGCATCCCAAGGCTACTGGATGGTCTGTTGTTACCACTGACAGTACACAGTTGCTTCTCACCCCTCTGCTCCATTCTTCCCCACCTCCCACAAAGTCCCAGCAATGTCTGAGGCAGGGCCAGGAACCCTCAATCTTCCTATTGAAGGCATCTCACGGTCCTGTTGCAATCTCCCTGAGGCTGCCTGTTCCTTGGTACCCCCTGCCTCCACCCACTATTGACCATCAGTTGGGACTGTCTAGATGGCATTCCCCACACTTAGGAAGAGATGGGTAAGGATCAAGAGGGCTGGGAGGGTCACTGCACACCACCCCCTCTACAGGTTTGCAGAGGAAGAGCAGGGAGGCCCAAGTGCCCAGTGACCTGAGTCTCCAGCACTCCACAGAGCCAGAGCGGAGACTCTTGTCTCATGCCACTCACGGACATCTGTGCTGGCTGATCCCACTGGCCACAGCAGTCCTGCTCAGCCTTACATTGCAGCTACCTATGGTCTTAGCCAAAGGGCAAACAGTGGAATTTAGGTGCTTCTCACCCCCTTCCAAGATTGTGACCCAGAGAAAATAGATAAAAATGTGTGGGCCACATCCCAGTGGGCCACTGAAAGGTTTGTGGTCTTTGTTATCTCTGTCCTATCTGTTCATTGCAAGTCTGATTGCTGCCTGTATCACTTTCTCCTGACAGGGAGACGATGGCTTACCAGTCCAGGGCTGCTGGAACAAGGTACGCTTCCCAGAGGCCTCGGGGGCAAAGGCATGCCAGCCCTTTTCTCAGCAGTACCATAAAGCTGCAGTTTCCTTCCTTTCTGCAGAGGAAGCAGCAAGACACGGGTTTAAAAAGGTGCTACCTCAAAGGTCGGGGTGCCCGTTCAACACCCACTCGCTGCACACCTGGAGAACACTTAGAAAGGCTTTTAAGGGGCAGGAGATGTAGCTCAGTTGGAAAAGTACTTGCCTGGCATGCTAGCATGCACAAAGTCCTGGGTTCCATCCCTAGTACTACATAAACCCAGCATGGTGGTGCATGTCTGTGATTTCAGCAACTCACTCACTCAGGAGGTGGATTCAGGAAGATCAGAAGTTCAAGGTCATCCTTGACTATGTAGTGAATTTGAGGCCAGCCCAGGATACATGAGACCCTGACTCAAAACTATATACTTTAAAAAAATTCTTTTAAGGTGGTAGCAAGTCCCCTTATATGTATCTACCCCTGTGACATCATTATGCTTCCTGTGGCCACTTTATGTAGCCCTGTGCTCCAAGGAGTTCCAGGCCGTGTTTTAAAAACAGGTCTCAAATAACCACCCTAAGCACTCAGCTGAGGTTCATTAGCTGTTATCCAGAGGGAAGACATCTAAATACCTTCAAATCTGAACTCGCCGGTCTTCTGCACCTCCCCCAAGGGACTGCCCTGCTCAGTGCTCTCCCTGTGTCGTGAACCTTGGCTGTCAAAGCCACGAGGTCCATGTGGCTTGTACACAGACCTACAGCCAACCTCCCCTAGTTTCCTGAGTTCCGAGAGATATCACCAGTTCTTGTCCCTTGCCATTATTAAAGCAGTCTGATGCCACAGGGCCATCTCACTCAGCCACAGCTCTCCAAGACCCAGGACTCCCCAGCCTATGGGCCACAGGCTGGCTAATCCAGAAATGTGTCTTTGTCTCCAGCACAGTTAGCAGCAGCTGGGTAGCCAGCATGTGCCATCTCCCTGCGCCTTGCCTCTAGCTCAGCATCTTCTCAGCCCTCCACCACCATCATCTCAGGGTATCCATATGTCTTTGTAACAGGACTGGGGACCCCACATTCTCAAGAGTTTGTGCGTAGCTAATCCAGTCAGTAACTCAAGAGGCACACAATAAGATGACTCGGTGCCCCTGTGCTCCAACACTCAGAATCTCATTGGTGCACAGGATTGGAAAAAATATAAAGCAAACAAGATGTGAGGCCTAGACTGAACACCTGGGTGCCTGGGTCCCTAAAGCACCCACAAGTCAAAGAAATGAGAAGTTCAGCACTTGAGAGAGATCTGAGCCTCACACGGGACCTCATCCTCTTGTCAAACAGTAAGACCTAGTTAGAAAGGCTGGAGAGATGGCTTAGTGGTTAAGAGCACTGACTGCTCTTGCAGAGGACTCGGGCTCAGTACCCAACATCCATGTGGTAACTAACAAACATCCATAACTCCAGTTCCAGGGGATTCAACATCCTCTTCTTGCCTCCCTGAGCATTGAAAATATGTGGTGCACTTACATGCAGACAAAATACACACATAACATAAAATTTTTAAAATATAGTTGGAGATACACAGGAGCTGGTTAGAGGTGTATCCATTAAATAAGATCCACCCTTGTCCCCAAAGAAAAAGTTTCCCCTTCAAGGTTGTTGCTGATGGTCAAGATGCAGAAATGGTTGGTTTAGCAAGGGAACTACAGCTAGTACCAAGAGCTACAGCATGTTGGAGAAGCAACTAGAGCAAGCCACGTCTGCTGCTTCAAATAAGTGACATCTGGGACTTTGGGGCAAACCCTGTGTCCTCCAAGACAGCATGGAGAGAGTGCCCTCTAGTGGTCATAAAGGAGGTGGCTGCAAGGTGAAAGTTGGGTTTCCCACCCTTAGGGGTCTTAAAGTCCACAGGAGGTTCTTGGGCTATGGGGGTTATGGTTCCCATCTGCCTGTCTGAAGCCGGATGTACATAGCATCCTTTCCCACAGAAGCACCCATCCAGGCCCCCTGAAACTAACTGCTGGTTGTTTTGTTTTTGTTTTGCAGTGATGCCGCTAACCTTGGATTGGCCTGTGTGTGTTTGTACATAGGATATTTATTTTTATACAGTTTTCACTTTTTTGAAAATGCCAAGAAGTATGATGCATCCTACAGATTATTAAAAAAGAGAAAAACATGCATATTTGTACAGAAAATAACAGCCTTTTCCTTTTGGTTTACAAGATGTTTTTGTATAAATCTGTTTCTAATACACTTTGTCCGTGTACACTACTAATGTTTGCATGATATTTGTGCACACTTATTAAGTATCACAGCTTAATAAATTATGGTGAGTGTTCCAGTGCCAAAAGGGGCCCACCAGCAGCGGGGGATGCTTCAAGAATGTGTGTGAATTCACACACACGTAGAGGCCTGTGACATTTGCCAGACTAGATGCGTTCAAGAATATTTTAAACTTTTATGCATTTTTATTATTAAAAAAATGAAACATGGCAATCCACGATCCTGATTAACTGATAAATTAAACCTTTCTTGTGCAAGCAGGAAGTCGCAGAAGCAGGGGTCCTCAGAAGTGTGGGGTAATGTGCAGAAATGTTAGCTTCCACAGAAGGAAGGAGGCTCTGTTAGGCAATATTCCTTGTGACATACCTCAAGTTCATCACAATGTTGCGGGCACTGAGGGTTCAGAAATGCTGGGTATCCCCAGAGCTACAAAGGGAAACATCCCATTGCTTTGCAGTTTGGGTGGGATTTTTTTTTCCTTTGTTTTGATTTGTATTAGATGCTTTTCTGTTACTGTGATAAAAATACCATAACCAAAAGCAACCTTGAGGAGAAAGGGTTTATTTTGGTTTATGGTTTCAGAGAAATAGAGTCCATCAGGGCCCAGAGCCATGACAACAGACAGGAAAGGCACTGACAAGAACAGGAAGTTGGCTGATCACATTTCATCCACACACAGGAAGCAGAGAGGGAGACAAGGAAGTGGTAGCAGGAAAGAAAACCTCAAAGCCCACCCCTAGTGACATACTTCCTCCAGCAAGGCTCCACCCCCTAAAGGTTCCGTAACTTCCTGAAACAGTGCCACCAACCAGAGTCCGAGTGTTCAAGAACAAGAGCCTGGGAGAGCATTTCTCAGTCAAACCACCACATCCTCTTTTGAGCTACAGTCACTAGTATCAGTTACCACAGATCACATTTAACTCGGTAAAAAAAATTACAGGTCTGAGCATAACTAGCTGGGGGAGAGGTTTTGCCTCATGGGTCATTTCATTCCAGTAAAGAAGAGTCAGAACACCCCCTAGATCTCAGCCATATCGGGTCAAGCTCAAGTTTTCATTTTTTTTTTTTAAAGAAATAGAGTTATTGGGCTGGGTAGATGGCTCAAGCCTCACACAAGCATGAGGACCTGAATTCAATCCCCAGAACCCAGATAAAAAATCCAGGTTGATGGTTTGTGCTTGGAATTCTAGTGCTGAGGAGGTCAGATCCCGGGAGCTTGCTAGCCAGATAGCTAGATTAGCCTAATCAGAACCCCAGGCCAGTGAGAGGCCCTATCTCAGTCTCAAAAACAAACCAAGGTTGGTGGCTTCTGAGTAATGACACCTGAGATTGTCTGAGAGAGAGAGAGAGAGAGAGAGAGAGAGAGAGATTGAGCTGTCAAGAGGTTGAGGCAGGAGGATCATAAGTTTGAGGCCAGTCTGAGCTACTAGTGAGACCCTGTTTCAAAAAAAGAAATTGAGTTGTATTATTTTCCATTCAAAGTGTCTGCTCAGTAAAGGTCTCAGGAAACCTTTTTTTTTTTTTATTTTCATGTGTGTGGTATGCATACATGTTTGCATGTATGTGTGGATGCCAGTGCACATAGGTACACAGACATATGGAAGTCTGAGGTTGCCATTAGGAATCATCCTCAAGCACTCTTTCACCTTATTCAATGAGACAGCATCTCTCAGTCACACCTAGAGCTCACCAATAGAGCTAATCTCGCTGGCCAGCTTGTTCTGCTTTCAGAGGTTGGAATTACAGGTGGGTCACCATGCCCACCCAGTATTTATGTGGGTGTCTGGAGATCTGAACCCCAGTCCTCAAGCTTCCTTGGCAAAGGCTTCAACCACTGAGCATCTTCCTAGCCCTCAGAAAACATCTTTTAATGACTAGGTAAGCATTACTAGGGTGTTTCATACAGGTTGTTGCTAGCTATTTTAGGGTGTAAATGCATGCTTCTAATGGCTTTAAAACAACACATGGTTCTGGGAGCTTCAACTCTTTCCTCTTCCATCTATTTTAGTGTTTACATTTTCTCTATACATCCTTTATATGGTCAGCACAAAAGAAGCTTTATCTTGGCCCCTATACACATACATACTCTGTTATCAGTGGCCTTCCCTTTCCAAAGAACCTACCAGTTGCTCATAAACTCTTACATTGATGGAACCACACTGCCCAGACCCAGGGGCCAGACTCACATACTACCCAGGACTTACTTGCAATATCCAATAGGCTACTCTGGAATTCAGTTTCCTCCTGAATGTTGGCTTCCTCATTTAAAAAATGACGCCATTGCGGGGCATGGCGGCGCACGCCTTTAATCCCAGCACTTGGGAGACAGAGGCAGGTGGATCTCTGTGAGTTCAAAGCCAGCCTGGTCTCCATAGTGAATCCAGGACAGCTGGGGCTATAGGGAGACCCTGTCTCAAAAAAACCCCCGAAAAAAAAAAAAGTGAAGCCATTGAACTAGAGTTCACGCCTGTGGATGCCAGTGGTGTTTGAGTGTCCCCTCCCTATGAGGGCGAAGCGAACAGACACCCAGACACAAGCCTCCAGCTTCTCTGAGGTTTTCCTATGCAGAGCTCCAGCATGTGACCCTCTCAGGATTCTCCCAGTTCAGCATCCTCCTCATCAGGCCCAGTGGTTTGAACAGAGACTGGCCCCATGGTACTTTTAGGGGTTCCAAATATATTTTAATCTTTACTGTTTTTATACTCAGAAGCAAAAAGGTGAAAATATAACAATGAATCCAGCCAGCAACATATTTGTCTATCAGCAATCACAAAACTGAACTGTTTATATTTTTATAGAAGTTCGAATCCACATAGGCAAAAATGTGCCCCCCACGTCACATTGTCTGCCCCATGCTATGCTTCTTGGAATTAGCCCCCACCCCAACTTCAGGGATTACCCAGCTTCAATGCCAATTTCCCAACTCCTGAGTAAATGCCTGAGAATTCAAGAGTGTGAGCAGGGGACTGGAAAGATGGCTCAGTGGTTAAGAGCACTGGCTGCTCTTGCAGAGGACCTGGGTTCAGCTCCCAGCACCTACATGGTGGCTAACAACCATCAGTAACTCCAGTTCCAGGGAATCTGACACCCTCTTCTGATCTCTGCAAACATTGCATGACATGGGTGCACCTATATACATGCAGGCAATACACTCACATACATAAAAATAATAAATAAAGCATTAAAAATATATTTCTTTTAAAAAGAATGTGACCAGGTTTCCTGGAACCCACTGCCTGAATGCCTTTCAGGCTTTGGCAAGAGCAATTACAGTTCAATGTGGTGATGTCAGAATAGAATTAAACTGCAGGAGACCCCACCACCACCACTCTGAGACTAATACCAACCAGGTCCCCCAGGGGACTGTGGAAAACCAGAAACCTCCTGGTCCATACCTGGTGCTTTGCATTCACTTACAACATCTCAGCTAACATCACAGAGGATCCCAGTCACCTTGTAGAATAGAGACAAGGCTGAGTGTGGCAGGTGCCACCTCTGATCCCAACACTGAGGAAGCTGATGCCTGAGGATGGAGAATCTGAAGCCAGTGTGGACTACAGGCTCTGTCTAGAAAATAAAGGAAAGAAAAGACTAAATACTAGAAAATGGAAATATGTATAAGAATAAATTTAAAGGCTAGAGTCAAGCCAAGGATGTAGGTCAGGTGTAGAGCACTTGTCTAGCACATGAGAGACTCTGGGTTCAATCCATAGCACTGCATGAACTCTGTTTGGTGGTACACACCTATAATCCCAGCACTTGGGCAGCGGAGACAGGAGGTCAGAAATTCAAGGTCATCTTTGGCTACATAGTGAGTTCAAGGCCAGTTTGGGCTACAGGAGACCTTGTCTCACAAAAGGGCAGTGCTTATGGGACTGATGCTCCCCATGTTCTTGGGGCCTTATGACAACTTCTGCTAAAAACTACCCACCCAGTGCCTAATGCTCTGTGCTCCACCACAGGGGACACATTATCCAGTATTGTCTATGTGGAGACATGCAGGCAGTTTGACAAAGACTAAGCCTGTGGCCTATGAATGGCAGTGTGACAGGGTCCTCCAGACAATAATCATGACTCTCCCAATGTTGCTAATTTATGCAGCAAGCTGAAGGAAGTCCCACCTTGCTGCATGAATGGCTAGCCCCTTCCCACATGCCCATCCATAGCTGACCCACCCTGCTCCTCCTTTCTCAACATGTTGACTTCACAAGTAGAACATGGTATGACAGATGGGATGTGGGAGGGTCAGACTCAGACAGTAAGGACTGGAATTCTGGTTCTTTCTCTAGCATTCACTGTTTGACCTTGGGTAACGCCAGGTCTTAGTGTGACCTTGGGTAACTCCAGAGCTTATTGTCAAATGAGGAAGTTGGATTTGGGTGATCTCTAGTGATCACCCAGAAGCCCCCTGATTCCACTTCCAGGTCATCTCCCAGGGGACTGAGGGCACTGAGGCATCCTGTGCCCCCAAGGCCTAGAGCCTTTTGACTATAACAGGATCATGCATGTAGTTGGCCTTGCATCATGTGTGGCATGTGTGTGTTTATAACCCTGGATGGATGGAGGTGGGGGTCACTATGGAAGACACAACCCTGCTGTCTAGGAGCTATGCTGCCCAACAAGGCAGGGACACATATGCTCAGTGCTCAGTGAGCGCCACTGCCAGCTGGGGTTCCTGGGTCCTGAGGACAGAGGACACTGATGGCCAGGAGGGAGAAGCAGAGGTCATCAAGAAGGGGTTACAAAGCAGAGAGAGAAGAGCTAATGGCCTACAGAAGGCAGTCCCCTCTACTAGGGCTCCTGTGACAGAACTGATCCAGGGAGTGTGAATCCTGGGCCCCTTGGTTCTCAAGTCAGAGATGAATGAGACTATAATAGGAGAGGGGCGGAGGGGGCCCCAGGTATAAGGCGCTAGGAGTCTGGCTAGGTGGCAGCGGGGCTGGAGAGATCTCTGACCCCAGGAGGTGTTCTTAAAGTGTGCCAGTCCCCAGCAAGGCTCCTTCTCAAATGTCCCCTTCTCTACACCTCCTCAAGGGCCAGAGTCCTTGGTTAGTGGCCAAGAAGTGA